AATATTTTAATCAGTTCGGTCTGGTACGGTCCAGTGGCACCGTGCACAGATTCAGTCAACAGCTTGGATTTTCAAGAACTTTGCCCACAAATTTATTTTAGGTAATTTGCCCTCTCAATCTCTGCCATTGAGCTGATTGTGTTCCAGCTGTCTTCTCAATCTCTGTTTCTCCTCGAAAAGTATGCTGCAGAATTGAAAAAGTGCTCTCTCAATCTCTGCCACAGAGTGCACTATACTTCCTTCACATTCTCAGTCCCTAACATTCCCGTCTCCTTTACACCACAGTAACGGGAGAGAGGCTGAGATTGAGAAGGCAGTAAAGAACACTGCATTTAGTGGTAGGGATTGAGAAGGTTGGTAAAATATTGCAGTGGACGGACCGGAGGATCTTACGTGCCCGCACATGAGTGTCACGCATACCTGGGTGGTAAAGTTGAGATCTTCAACTTGTAATTAAACGTGAAACATCATCCCAAAACTTCAGCTCTCCAGCTTTTTTGGCTCTCGGCTAGCATTCCCTTGCCAAAAGTTTTTATGGCCCATACATGAGGACCATGCACGCCTTGGGGGATGAAATATTTAAATTCTACGTGGATGGTAAACATCTCCTTACAATTTCACCCTTCTGTCTTTCTGGCAATTTTCCTGCAAAACCTTCACTTGCCCGTACGCAGGGTCCAGACTTCCGTGAAGGTTGACGTTGCGCTCATAGGCAGCACTTGGCCGGAAAACCTACTAGCGAAATTTTAGAGCCGGAAGTTGCTTAGTTGCCGAGTTGAAACATCCACACAGACCCATACGCACATTATGGGTTGTCACAATATATGTTTTTGCATTTGCGTATTTGCAAAACACATAAACAGGATTTCGGTCCTGCTCGCGCTCGAGCACCAGGATCCAAAAGTTTTAGCTTTCTGGATTTTTGCAATCGCTTATTCTTTTTTGATTATATTCGCATTTACATAAACAAGCAAGCAGGATCCTTTCAGATCGGGTTTTCGAACTATGCGAGTAACACGAAAAACTCAATGATAAAGCAGCATTTGATCTATGCAACAAAGCAAATGGCACATAAAAACTATTCCTTTTCCAACACAGTGTCATGATATAGTTTATTTTCGATTTATACCTGAATTCGCAATCAGTGGCATGCCATTCTTGGATCCAATTGAGCCTTTTATTTTCCACTTGTAAAGCAATTTTGATATGCCAAAACCAGACAGTTTCAGAATCCAGCGACTATCAATCAGACACTGTGACGGTGTTAACGAACCATGATATGCAACTGATGAGGAATGTAAAAATTCAAGGCCCTCAAAAAGAGGAAAAGTTCTTATTCTGCACAGAAATGCAGTTCAGAAAAATGTTTATTGGCAAAGTATTTCGTGAACACGAGCGAAAAAGTGGTCTGAAAATTAGATCTCGTATATTCAGTCAGTTTCGAATTGTAGATGGAAAATTTCGCAGACGAAGCTCACGATACGAACAAGCTGCCACAGCAGTCTAGCAGGAAATAAAAAGATAGCAACAAGTTTTGGAATGCCTGTAGTCAATTTGTACGCAAACGGTGCAGGCTCGGAAGAAGCTAAGTTTGATTATTTCAGCCACGAAATGCATCTAAGCTACGTCTTCGGCGGTCGCTCCACTACTTTTTCGGAGATACCACTCACTAATGCGCAGCGCCTACCGGTTGTCAGCAAAACGGGCAACATGGATTTAATCTTTAATCAAACGTGAATGAAGGATTAAAAACATGTGTTAATGAAAATCGGCATGAATATTATAAATGGATAACCTTAAGCGATAAAAAATTTTTAATGAGCAAAAAAGTAGTATTAATGATAAAAAAGACATAAATGTAACGTCACCGTAAAAAATAAAATCAAATATAAAAGTGCTTCTGCGAAAAGCTGTACTAATAATGTGGGTAGTATAAACGAAAATAAAGCTAATGCATTGCCAGCAGAGTCCAGTTTAATAAGAAAAAAGCTTTTCCCAGTACACGTTTCCAGGAGTTGTTGATATTGCATTTTTGTTGTTCTAAATTTAACCTTTCACCACCACCTTTCTAATGTTCAGAAAAGTCCTGCCTTACTTACTAACAGCGAAGACTGAACAGAGCGATACGAATTCGGAAAGCAACAAACCCGAATTATATCACGAACGAATGCGCTCTTGAAATTTTTATCAAAGGCTGGCCCATCCTGATTCTCTGTTTTCAGCTTATTGTGAGTACCATCGGCACCACTCAAAAACATCAAATCGGCCAGTGTTCCGCGAAAACAGTGATTCCAAATCACATAAAATTCAGTGCGTTTATCTATGCATATGCCAATGAACTGATTGATGTTATCATGCACAAGTTGCTTCATCTGAAACAACAAAACAACAGTGCTTAGCATTTTTTGGTAAGGTCGGTGCGCGGCGACGCATAGCATGGAAGTTCGCTCGCTTCTGGTACTTATAACGGGTTTTATTATTTGGTACCAAAGGCGTACTGCACTGCGTCTCCGGTTTGGCTC